TTTTTTTTTTTTTTTTAGCCTACCTGCTCCCCTCCCAAATGTTGGAGGCAAAGGTAGAAAGAAATAGGTTTGGTTCCACAACATTTGACGGTTAATCCCTAGGATGGTTGGTCTCTAAACCCTTTTATATATTTCCACAGTATAGCACTCATCCACATAGTCAACTGCATTATCATTTTGAGATATAATTGCACTTCATGCATGCTTGCATGCTATCCTACTCAAGTCCCACAACCTACATGTGCATGTTTTCTTTTCAAAGTCCACCACCTATTGACCCCCACCATAACACTCAACTTGATAGTGAGTTTTGTCACTTTACATAGGCACGCAGTCACCTAACTTCCCTATATCACCCTCCACAATTTTAATTATCTCTGTACGCATTGCTTTTCCATCTCAACTCAGCAATATCCTTGTTTCTCTGAAGCCTTTTCACTAAATACATCTGATCCATTCAAGCATAGTTACTATTGGCTCCTCTCTAGCACCAACAACGCATGAGTTAAAGTGCTCACAAAATTTATTCAACAAAATGCCACACTTGGGTTTTTCCTCAAAGTCGAATTTTGACCAATCCAAGATTCTTGTCATTGAAACAGTCTAGAGCTTCAGGAGACCCTTTCCTCATTTGTCTCATCCTGGAATGAAACTCACACAAAGTACTTGCCTCTGCAGCAGCCCACAAGGCATTGTTATATGAAGCCCATCAAAATCCAACATTTTTAAAGTTGTTGTGCAGATGTTAACACAAAACCTATGAGTAGAGCGAGGAAAAACACTTTAAAACGCCACAATCAACTCCTTTTTTTTATCACTAATGAAAGTATAATCATTGTCTTGCACAATCCAAAGATCATGCTTCAATGCAATCAGAAACCACTCTCAAGTATCCCTAGCTTCTCTACTAACCAAAACATAAGCTAAGGGATATATGTTGTTGTTAGGATCAACACCTACAACAGTAAGAAGAATAACCCTGTGGGGTCCAGTCTAATGACACCCACCAACCCGTACTATTGACCTAAGATCACGCCTAAAATCCTACTTAAGTGCAGCAAAACAAACATTAAATTTGGAGAATCTAGGAGCACCATCATCCTCTTCAACATCTAGAATCACAGTAGAACCAGGATTTGTATCCTTCAGTTGTTGGGCATAGTCCCATAACTTCTCATAATGTGAGTCTGGATTTCCATCAAGTACCTCTAGAGTTCTTTCTTAGACCTATAAGCATGGTGCCAGAAAATCCCTACCTCTAACTCATGAACCACATCTCTTCTAAATCACGTAACTTTTCTTTTGGGATCAGCCTGAGACTTGCTCAAATACCCCTCAGACAACAACTTGGTTTTAATAATTCTACGATGAAAACATGTAGGACATGTATGATTGGGATTTTAGGTGGTTATCTTGAAGGCTGCTTGGTCAAGAATATTTAGTGCATGCATTATCCACTAACACCCTTTGAATCACATACTACATGGACCCTAATGTTACCATTGTTTTTTAACTTCACACTTTTTTTAGACTTCGTAGCATGTGACTGCACACCTTTATTAAACTCTTCTCTAGTACCAGAGAACATTTCTAGGGAAACGGTAGGATCACAGATATTAACAGGATTAAACGCAGTTTCCATCTGACTAATTGTTTCATTATATGAACAATACTCTTGAAAATCAAGTGGAGCTTCAACCAAATCTTCTTCCCCACTATCAGAATCTGGTTCACTTCCTAAATCCACATATTTGTCCACATTGTGATCAAAATCTGCATCATCACTCCTACCACTACTTTTAGACCTAATACCAAAGTCACTATCTATACTTTCACTGCCCCGTCACTATCTCCATCATCACTCCTATCAGATACCTTATCACCCTTATCAACAATTTTATCACCACCCTCATTATGTGTCTTATCACTCATTTCACTATCATCTCCACTCTCACTTGTCTCATTGCTATCTAATTCACTATAATATTTTTTATCCAATTCTACTCAATCAAGTTCATCATACTTAGAAGTAGGCACATATTGACCTTCATCCCTCAGTTCAATGTAAATTTCCATCTGTTGACTATAAATGTGAATTTAGCCCACCTACACAATGCTACATCATCTCCCAATAATATAAATGATATACCACGTTGAAATAATACCTTATATTTCCTACACAACCAAATAGATCTCTAATACAATTGAATGTATCAAGACATAATTTTGAAATTCTTGTCCAGTCAAGTATCATACTAAAACCCTCCATGTAATCAAAGATTGGAGAATAGACAAACTGACTCCACATCAAAGAACTTAAATTATGTGATCTCTATTTTTGGAGGAACCGAACAAAAAATAAACAAAACAACAAAAAACAAAACAAAAAACGAAGTAAAATGAGCACAACAATATATATTGGTAAACCATAAATTAGGAGTTGTAAAAAAACCCTAATTTGCCTTAAAATTCTAGGTTTGCAAAAAAACCCTAATTTCATTTCAAAATTAGGGTGTTCATTTAAGAATCCTATTTCATCTATAATATAGGGCTCTCAATAAGAAGTTGAAGGTTCCATTACAAGTATCGTGCTTTCCATACACAAACAAACAATTTCATTTAAAGATTAGCACTCACTGTATGTGGGGGGACCATTGTGCAATCGAATCTTCTTTCGAATGAAAACCTTCTCAGGAAACATTTGACAACGATTTCAAAATTTCTTTCTCCAAGAAGTGATTTTAAATTTTTGGGTTTATTGGATTTGGGAACTTCCTATGGGTGTCTCCTCTAAATCAATTACATAAGTGAATGAATGAGCTTTTTAATTTTCCCTCCATTTCGACATGTCATGCTACATGGAATTTGCAATTTTTGGTTAACTATAAGGCGCCATTTAATTTTGCATACCACGATGGAATTCTAGTTCCACATAACATTAAACGAACTGTTAAACATGTCATGTGCAGCTCATGTAACTGTTTTCGATCAAATTATGAATTTCTCGCGAGTCGGAAACCTCTTTGTAACTTTTTTACAAACACAAAAGACATAATTCAAAACAACAATTCGAGTGAGACGAAAAAGTTAGGATTGCTAAAAATACAAGAGTATAATTATAATTTTTTCTTTGTTTAATTTAGAATATATAGTAGTATTTACTGATGACAACTCTTGAAATTTTACTTAGAAAAAATAAAATCAATATCAATAAATTATTGAATCACGAGATCTCAAATGGAGAAACAATAGATTCTAGATTTTGACGGGAATTCAAAATTCCCAACCACTAACAAGTTAAACACATTTGTAATGTTCTGGGTGTTCTTTTAGGGTCATTTACACATATACTACACGATTCAACAAAAATTGCAACTTTACCATCCCACTAAAATTAATTGCATGTTTACCTAAAACATTAGATTTAATTAGATTGATTCCTACTGTCAGTTACCATAATATCCAACGTCCACTCTTAATTTGTGTTAATTAATATTCCAACTTCATCTTAATTTGCGCTTGATTACTGTTTTACGTTATTAAAAAAACCCAAAATTAATGTCAAAAAACCTGGAAAATATACACTCTAAGTTTATTGTGAATTTGAATCCAAAAACAGGTTGATCGAAAATTTTAAAAAATGTATATGTTTAGTTTATATAACGTATATATTACACATATGAATTGTATATGTTTAGCTTATTTAACATATATATTATTATACATAATGTATACACATATGAAACCGTATATGTTTAGTTTATATAACGTATATATTATCATCCACTAAAATTAGTTGCGTGCTTTTGAGGATGAGGATGGAGAAATCTTCGGAGAAATCTGCAGAGGAGGATAAGGATGAGGATGGAGCTTCTAAAGAGGCAAAAATCTCTGAATCTGCTCCCTTCAAAGAGGAAACCAACAAGGCCGACGAGTTAATCAACCCGGAGAAAAAGGCACTGGACGAATTCAAGGTTCTAATCCAGGAGGTGCTCAACAAGCGTGAGTTCTTCGCCCCGCCGCCGCCGCTGCAAGCCGGCCACCGTTTGCACCAATAATTTATTCTCCACTTCTACTATGGAATTTCTTTGAGCCACTATGCTTGGATTTAGACTGAAATTGAAGATTCCTCTAGACAAGTTTGCGGTCTACCTTAGGTTTACTGTTGCTGATCCGCGAACTCGATCTCGGCTACGACTGCTTCCGACGACGACGAGATCGTCGGTTTTTGCCAGAGACAAAAGAGAATTGAACGATGAAAGAGAGAGTTTGGAGAGGGATAACCGAAAAAAGAGGTAAAAATTCAGGAAGGATATCCCACGTTTAATAAAAAAGACAGTTACCAAATAATTAAATATTGAAAATAACGTGTATAAGCAAATATCTAGTGCATATCTTTCAAATCTGCTAATAAAAATAAATCATGGTAGATATACAAATACTTTTGAATTAGTTCGGCCCTGGCATAGTTTTTGCGTTCTTTTAGACCAGAAGTTCCAAAAGGCTAACTCAAGCCCAAAGCATGGACAATACGTTTTAGGATGGTAAGCTTATATGTCACACGTTATTGCACTTGCGATGTAAGGTGTATTGTATACCAAAAGTTTCCACATCGACCTCTCATGAGACCACTGAGTGGTTAATAAATTATCATCTCTAACATAGTGGGCGCACTTTTGTGCCAAAAGTTCCAAAGGACAAACTCAGGCTCGAACATTGGAAAATACCTACTAGGAGATGAGAGTATTTAGAACACATAATTAGCATGATGCTTACGATGAGAGGGTGTCTTGTGAATTAAATATTCCAACATCACTCACACAGGAGACCATTAAGCAGTTAATAAGTTAGGCTCTTCTCTAACTTACTAGACACATTTTTGGACCAAAAGTTCTAAAACCCAGGCTCAAAGCCTCGACGATACCTACTGGAAGGGATAGTCCTCCTATTTATGACAGTTCTAATTTTGTTTAAGGTATGTGGCAAAAAAGAGTTAATTTGTGTTGGACTTCCAAAATCGCTTATTCTCAAAATCTACTTCATGGTCGAAGTTACTTGATTCTTTATCATCTACAACCTTAATAAAAACCACTAAAATTTTCAACTCCCAACCGAAAGCCTGTTAGCAAAACGTCCCCTGGTTCATACTAAATCTACACTTCAGAACCATTCTACATCACAAAATTGAATAATCATCATTATTTAACTAAACTCAGAAGCATGCCACTGGGCAAGCAATTCAATAATTAAGTCTATATACATCATATATTAGTTCTTTCATTCCATTTAAATTACATGTGAAAAAATTCATTTGGGTTGTGGAAATATTTCCAATTTTGATCAGGCAAAATAGAAAGCCACCTCCCACATAAAATGTTTCTCATACCCAGATGATGACAAGTTTTACAGAAAATGTTCGTGTTAAAGATGACATCGATCAATTGAACCCAATCAGCCCACCGGAGAGAGAAATATCCGTGTCAGGTAATGCGCAAGAAAATATCCATAACATCAAATCCAAAGGGTCTTCAAACAAGAAATGCAGTAAATATGCAAAGTAGCTCGTAAATTAAACGGTACAATTGCAAGTACTATTAAAATACATATCCGTCAGTCAATAGCATAATCACAAGTACTACTCGAAGTTTCATCCAACATAACAATACCACAATTCGGATGAGTTAGTTAACCCCCAACAACTTAGTTAATAATCATCATCATCATGTAATAAGAGACCAATCTAATCTCAGATTCTACCAACTAAAGCAAGTGTCAAAAATATTTCCCATAGCTCAACACACATATCTCCTCCGCATTTAACTCAGAGAAAATCTCAATCAAATATCTGAAGCTCTAAACCCAGAACAGAACCCCAGCCAAAAATAAAAAACCAATATATTCCCACGTATTACTACTTGTCACCAATTAAAGACAGCACAAACTCAATCATTCAAGACAGCACAAACTCATTCGGTGGTCGAAGACACACCGTAACCTCGTGCTCCTCCGGGCCCACTCGATGCTTAGGCACTTTGATCTCAAGAACAGTCCCACTCTTATCAAAATAAGCCTCCAGATTGGCATCGTCCGGAATCCTAGTTGGCAGAGGGATTTCCCGCCTGAACTCGCCAGGTGGACAGTGCTCGGGCGCCCGGTCAGTCAGCCTGAACGTCCGATCTTTCCTCTGAACAAACGGCATGCAACCCGTGCTCACGGACGATATTTTCAGCACGCCATGCGTGAGGTTGTTCCACCAGTGGACCTTCACCTTCTCGGGATCCGCAAACGGTAGCGTTACAAGAATCAGATATCCTTCATCATCCTCGTATATAGTTTTAGCTCCCGTCACTGGCCCGTAAACGTTTCTCATGACCCCACTGAACTCCGCCAGCCAAGGAGGCTCGACTGGACCGAACTCGTGAAGATGACCGTTAGCCATCAAACAGCAATTCTCGTCCGATAACAGATCTTTCCTCTTCCGGTTACAAACAGCCAAGAGATCGATCCCGTTTGCCGGGCCCGCCGAAGTCTGGGTCGACAAATTCAGGCCCGACCCGTTTAGCAGCTTCTTGTTCCTCGAAACGGGTAAAGTTGACCTGTCAAGGTCGAAATCCGTGCTCGGGAGATTACGCCACGAGCTGAACTCCTTGGCCTCGGGCGGAATCGAGAAGTTGAGTTCGCGGCCCGTTAGTTCGACCCATCTCTTCTGCTCTTCTTCGTCCAGGCCAGCTAGACTAGGGGAGGGCACGAGTTCTATCCCGTGCAGGCACTGCGGGTTAGAGAGCCCCCGGTATTGCTTTCTCTGCATCTTGTGAGAACGGACGAAGCCCTTATCGACACTAAATGGGAAAGGACGCTGGCCCTGTCTCGAGTGCCCGTTCATGTAGCTTCTCAGCTGCATCTTACCCAGTGCATTCTCGGGCCTCTCCTTGAAAACCCACATGTACATGTTCTCCATATCGTGCTGCACGAGGAAGACGTCGAGCTGGAGGTCCGATTTCTCGAAGCCAGTTGAATTGGGCTTTGATTTTTCTTTGAGGACGGGTTTGAAGTAGAAGCTGAAGAAGAACCATGCGCCCCACACGCTGTCAGGCCGCTTGCCGCATTTCTTCCCGGCCTTGGGCAGGTCGATGGCCGAGTCGTTGGGCTGGGGCCCGAGCCCGACATCGAGAATGTCGAAGGAGGGGTCGTGGGCCCACGGCTGAGGTGGCGGGCTGCGTTCTGCGGATAGGGGGAGGTTGATGTCGGGCGGGCCGGAGAGGATGACCTGGCGGTTGGGGTCTCGCTCGGGATCCTCATGACAAGCGGCGATTGAATCCATGGACAAGAATGTTGATGGGGGGTAGTTCTCAATGCTTAAGCCTGTCAGGAAATCTTCCCCCATTTTTCTGTTCCAATACTGTATCTTTCAACTAATTTTGGGGGTTTGTGTACGTGATCGATCGGTGATTTCAATGTACGATTAAAGCCCCCAAAGAAATCAAGGGAATAAACGAAGAGGATTTTTACAAAAGCTTCACTGCTTAGAAACCCTAAAAGTGCCGCAAGATTCAGTTTGCAAGAAAAATGCTCAATCAATTTAGGGAAATTCTGTCGGGGCACTAAGGAATACTAGTGATTGAGAAAGATGGGCGAAGGAAACATCAATTCCCTGAATCCCAAACACACACAGAAGAAGTATCTAAAAAGGAAAAACAATAAGGGGACAATGCAGAGTCGGTGAATGGCTACGGGAAAAATAAATGGATGTTCGAAAAGAAGCAACAAAGAAAAATCGTAAAATTACCTTCTGATGAAAAAATCGTCGAAGAAATGTGAAGGTCTTTTAGCATGTAATCCGAATCGGGAATCTACAGAGGCATAGAGGAAGAGGGACGATTGAGGTTGGAGTGGAGAAAATAAACGTTAATGGAAGATTCCGTTAAAACAAACGTGTGTGATAATAAGAGGATTAGAGATGTTAAATGGTAATTGGCCTGACGGGCCGGCCCGTTTAACCTAGAATAAAGGGTGGTACTATTTATTGCCCCTTTTACTAATCACTACTCTCCTTGGACGATTTTGCCCTTTTCATTTCTTCTAAACATCTCAGAGGAAAGTGTACGGTGAAATGTCATCAAATTTCGAGGTACGAAAATTTTTGTGTTCGGCCGGCGAAACCGGACGGCTTTTGGCCCGTCCGAACCGGCCGGCCGGACGCTTTAAAAGTTGTCCGGCGGCGACGGCCGACCGGACAATTTTTTTTTTTTTTTGTTTTTGTTTTTTAAATTATTATGTTATATATTCGAAATAATTATGTTATAAATTGGACTTGATTATTATGTTATAAATTATTATGTTACATTTTAGACTTGATTATGTTACAAATTGGACGTTAGATATTATCGTGTTAGGGATTACAAATTATTATGTTACATGTTGATTATGCTATAAATTGGACGTTAGATATTATCGTGTTACGAGTTAGAAATTATAATATTACATATTAGTCTTGGTTATGTTATAAATTGACGTTAGATAGTATCGTGTTAGGAGTTACAAATTATTATGTTACATGTTATAGCTGATTATATTATAAATTGGACGTTAGATATTATCGTGTTAGGAGTTACAAATTATTGTGTTACATGTTAGACTTCATTATGCTACATGTTATAGCTGATTATATTATAAATTGGACGTTAGATATTATCGTGTTAGGAGTTACAAATTATTGTGTTACATGTTAGACTTCATTATGCTATAAATTGGACGTTAGATAATATTATGTTATGAGTTACAAATTATTATGTTACATGTTAGAATTAATTATCTTAATTTAACATGTTCTAAAAATATAAATATTGTACTATATAGCAGGAGTCATGAGAAGATTTTGGAGGAGATGGTGTTGATTACAGTCTCAGTTTCGATACCTGTACATTATTTAATAGTGCTCAGGACGCTATTGAAGCTGCAAAACACCAGACAATGCTGAATGGTTTCCTATTAGTAATTTCGAGCCACAAAAAGAAAACAGTCAGGCTTTTGAAGTGCCGTAGAGGCGAACGCTACAGAGGCACGGGCGGAAATTCCAGAAAGACAACGAATAAGTGCGGCTGCGATTTTGAGATCAAAGTAAAAAAGGTGTCCGGCGAGCCATACTGGAGGATCTGTAGATGTAGCAATGAAGATAAGGGCTACCATAACCATACATTTGCTGTGTATCCTGAGGGTCATCGCAAGTTGAGCGGCCTCAGCGCTTCATCTAAGAAAATTATTCGTGATATGACGGACGCTCAGGTGGCCCAGGCAAAAATTATGGCCGCGCTGAAGGAAAAGAATCCGGGAGACAACTTTAATGTGCGACAGGCATATATATTTATATCTTGTAATATATGTTTTAATTAACTTTTTGAAGTTAATTATGATAATTAGTAATTTTTTATATTTAAAAGTTATTGTAATAATTAATAAATTTTATTATATTTACTAATGTATTATTATTATGATAGCTAATACTTTTTTATATCAAATTAATTAATTAATTATAATAATTTTTTTTGTTTTAAATTATAATAATCATTATAATTAACGCTAATCGGTGACAGGTATATAACTTTAGAGATAAGCTGCGGAAAGAGAGTTTCGACGGTAGAGACGTTCCTTCCCAGCTTATGCATTTGGCCGTGAGCAGCGAGTATACAGTTTATGCAGAATCCGATCCAAACACGAAAGCGTTGACGCATAGTCATGGCCCATCCTGCGTCGATCAATCTGTTTCGGACATATCACTGGTATGTCGGCATAGATTCCACGTATAAAACCAACAGGTATGTTACTGTATAAATACTTTATTGGTATGAATCTTAAATAGTGTGTTTGATTAAGTTAACTTTTATTTGATTATATTTTTTGTCTTTTTGGTCTCATTTGCACAAGTACAAGATGCCGTTGGTCGAGATGATTGGGATGATGCCATGCAACCAGAACTTCCTAATTGCATATGCGCTCATCAGGGACGAGAAAGAGGCCAGTTACGACTGGGTTCTACAAAAGTTGAGACTACTGATAGGCGAAGACGTATATCCTAATGTGGTTGTCAGTGATAGAGAGTTGGGTTTAATCACTCCTATTCAGAGGCATTTTCCAGAATCAGCCCACTTACCCTGCACGTGGCACATCAACAAGGATGTGGAAGACAAAGCCTACAAACTCTTTGGGAAGAGTAAAAAACTCTCGCAGATTTTCACGCACAGTACGTGGAAACGTATTGTCAAGGCCAGTACGTTGGATGACTACACCGATGCCGTTGCCGAGCTGCACGAAAAATATTCGAAGTCTCCACAGGTGATACGGTATGTGGAGAACACATGGTTAGGGCACAAGCAGAAGTTTGTGAAGGCTTGGACCAACCGAGTGGCACATTTTGGAAACACAACTTCCTGTAGGGTGGAGAGTGCCCACTCTATGTTGAAGGAGTGGCTTCACACGTCCACCGGCGCGCTCGATACAATTTGACAGAAGATTAATAAGCAAATCGATCATCAAGTGACTGAAATCAAGTACGTACTGCAATTTTTAAATGCGTTATTACATTACTACATTAATTATAATCTAACGTTATGTAACGTATTATCAGGACGACGCTTGAGGCCTCGAGATCTAAGAAGAATACACGGTATAAGGGAATCCTTTTTGCGATCGTGATACTGAGGGTCTCGCATTACTGTCTGAGTTTATTGGACGCTGAGCTTACGAGGATGCATGGCTTGGACGACGATGTTTACACTAGCTGCGGCTGTATATTGCAGTTCACTCATAGACTTCCTTGTGCCTGTCTGCTCCGTACCACAGTTGATTCCGAAATTCCAATTGATCTCGGAATGATTCACCAATTCTGGAGAACACTACAGATGTTAGAGCCAGGTAATTTAAGGTTAATGTTTTATTTATAATTTTCTACTTGCTGTTTCATTTTCAATTACAATTTATGTAATTAAAGTACATTAATTGGTTTAATTCATTGAATTTTTTATCGTATACTTGTAGGGACTGGTCATCAGAGCCAGGCGAGCCACGCTGGATGGTCAGATGCAGAGTTCTTTCAGACGCTTGTGAGTGAGGTTGAAACCCACGATCCCGCGATGATGCGGTACGTGAATCAGTTCATGTACAATCATCTTTACCCAGACCAACAAGATTATGCGGAACCTGAGGTTAAGGATAACCCGCGAGGTCGTCCCAAGAAAACTAATTCAACTAAGCGTAAACCATGTGCTTGAGAGAACAACGATAGATCGCGAGGTCGGAAATCGAGCCGTACGACTACTTCTTCGCGTGGACAGACAAGCTCGTCTTCTCAACAGTCACAAGGGGAAGCAGGTGATACATTTTTTTTTTTTAAATATGGTTGAGTGTTAATTAAAGTATTTATATGATTATATAAATTGTGACGTGAAATTATTATGATATTGCAGAGTTTAGACCGACAACTATATTTGATTTTTCAATGTGGCAAAATATCCCCTGACATATGTTGGACTACATGGTGAGTTATATGAATGTGGAGGCGGATGGTAACTGCGGATTTCGGGTCATCGCGAGTCACGTGTATGGTCACCAGAAGTACTGGGCAGATGCAAGAGACAACATTGCGAAGGAGGTCGACAGCCACCGTGGATTGTACGAGTACATCTATTTTAGAGATATCGACACTCTGTCGCGTAAGGTGGGGCCGGGGCCCTTGTGGACGAGCTAACTGGTTCGAAGTTCCGCAGGACCTCTACGCTGTTGTGACCCTATTTAATGCGGTTGTCGTTCTGTTGGGCTTTGGTCCGCAAGGTGGGCAACACAACTTCTTCAGCCTCACAGTGTTGCCTCTCATTGCACGATCATCGGCTAGAGGACCATGTCGTGAGATTGTCATGTGCCATCTTGGTACCGTAGAACACTACATTCGTTTAGATTGGACTCATGATTGTCCATTACCGCCTATTCATTCCATGTGGTTCCGTTACCGAGATCGATCGTTTGTGGGTTGGGTGGATCAGTACGAGGCTAGGTTGCGATTGTGGTTTACTGTTCAAAATAGACCTTGTTGAATAAAAGAACGATATTATTCGATTCAACAAAAGAACGATATTATTCACTTGTGGTATGACGCTTCTCATTCAACTTAAGTTTAGGAAATAAAAAAAAAAAAATGAATCAGTTCAACTTAAGTTTAGCAAGAAAAAAAAAACCATTCAACTTAATGTTTTATCAACTTAATGTTTTACAAATAATAAATAAAAAAAAACCATTCAACTTAATGTTTTACAATATTACTAAAAAAAAACATTCATTACATCATTATTGGGCATTGTCGTAATCCAACTTAAACTTAGCCAAATCTTCTTGGAC